GGTTGGCCAGTTCATCACCCCCTTCAAGTCACGATCCTCAGAGTTTTGCCTATGTCCACTCAAGAAAAACACAAACTATTTTGTAAGGAGCTGAGGAAGGAGCTTTGCCCTTCTATGGGCCAAAGCATGTGAAGCCCACACTTTGAAAATGGCTTAACTTACTTTGAAAATTGTATAACTGACATTTGTTCCTATGCAAATGGGATGTATTATCTTTTCAGTAAGTACCACATATCTGAAGTGGTTATCTCTGTTTTTATTGAAGGTACTTTCTATGGCAAATAATGGAAAGGTATAATAATACTTGGCAGTTTAAAGAACTCTTATAGTACATCAATGATTTGTCTCAGATAATACAGTGCTCTATTGATCTAAGGTAATACAAATAACTTTGGAAACTTATTGCTGTTTATTTAGTATATCAAACGTCTCTTCTTTTTATGGTAAACTTACATTGCTGCTGTCAAGCTTTGTTATTGGCATTCTGGTACAAAGAAGCATCTTGCACAAGAATGTGTAGAGCCAAGACAAACCATCTATTTCTTCTTCCCTTCTCTGAAGGGACTCTGAACATGCAGGCACTAAGGTTTTCCCATCAAGGCAGGGCTTTTTTCCCTCTGACCTCCCGCACCTCTGAACCCTCCACACCTGATAAAGAGAGCTTCTTGAAAACTTGCACATGGCTTGCGAGCTTTGTTTTGCTTGGTAAAGGTGGTATTCTAATATGGATTTTTTCCCCTTGTAATCAATGGGGCTACCTTTTTTCTCTCCCCCACCAAGTTACTTCCTGAAATTGCATCCTTCTGCATAATCACAACACTCTTATTTAGATGCTCCATTGGATCAAAAGAGAAGACAAATACATGGAAGAGACCAAACGCAAAATATACTATGTTACTATTCCTAGGTTGGATTCCTACCCTTCTGCATGTAGAAGATACCTCCTGCTTATGAAAGATTGTTTCCACGTTATGCTAGTTCTGGATGAGAAAAGTCGAAGAAGGTCCACAGTGTCCCTCTGCTTGAGCTTGCACCACTTCTTGCACAAGGCAGAAGCATTCACTAGAGTAAATAAATTATTGTATAAAGAAAATAAATAAATAGTGCGGCGTGGTGGCGAGAGTCTCATGTTGCTGGACGCAGACTTGGGCGATCTGGGCTCTGGTCCCCACTTGGCCATGAAGCCCAGTGGTGACTTTGGGCCAGTCACTCATGCTCAGTCTTGCCTACCTCTCCAAGTTATGAGGAGAAATCAGAGGAGGAGGACTGTGGAAGTGAACCTGGGTTCTTTGCAGGGAGAAACAAGGTGGAGTAGAAACGTAATAGTACAGCATAAATATGGCAGCACTTCCGAGCAGCCACTCCTTCTGTCTTCTCTTGCATAAGGATTTGTGGGACTGCTCCAGTGGTGGCCTTTTTCTGGCGCAGAGCCCCTTAGATCCAAGCAATTGTTTCCTACTCAGTTTTAGTGTTTTCCATAGCAGGCATGCCACTTAGCGATGCTTTAACAAAACTCTACAGATCTGCCAAAGGCACACAACTTTTAATCGTAAAGGGAAACAACAAGGACAGTTATACACAATAACTGGGGTGGGGAAACCTGGAAGAGCAAAGAGCACACTCCATGGCCAGCTCGAACGGGGATGGGGGCAGAAGTTCTGTGAGTGCAGATGCTGTGATCACAGCATCTTTTCAGTGCGGATGCTGTAATCTCGCTGCCAACAGGGGTTTACCGAGCAAAGGCCCCCGGAGTTGTCTCATATTTTCTGGCTTATTCTGCTGGTGTTTATCCTAACAACAGTCAGCTGCTCCCTTTTCACACTTATCCAGGGTTTAGCAGTGAAGTGTTTAGCATCTGGCCTCGCAATTATTATACAGAGGGAACATCCCGATCTGTTGGAGAACACCCTTGTTGGCACTAAAAGGACAAAAGGCTTTCGAAGCAGCCTGGATTCCTCAGATTTGCCTCTACCCATCTCTGACACAAGTTTTCCCTCAGGAGCACAACACACTTGCAGCTGGCTGATAACTCTTACTTGTGCCATGTCCTTTCTTCCTATCTGGATGGGATCTTTCAGTTCTGAAATTACTGGATTTTGCAGTGGATAGATGCAATATGAAAAGATCAAGTAACCAAGGACAGTGGACATTACTTTTTAGTGAAAAAGCAAACAAAGCTCAAGACTGCATCAGGGTCCAGGGTGCTATTTAAAGTAAAGCCACCACAGAGACTAAATTAAGGATGATAATTTACAATCCAAGTGTAAGAGACACAGAGGTGGTTATTATTGCATGCATGTTAATTCTCAAGGTGTCCACAATTTCTCAAAGCTTAATACTGTGGTGCTTGCATTGAAACCATCACAACCTAAGCTTCCATTCTGAAGACCTCTCTTTCCCATGGAATCAAAGCTAATAGAGAAACAAGGAGAGATCAGAATTCTTCTTTGCTTTTTGTTACAATTGGCAGGAACTTGAGGTTTTGAAACCAGTCCACTATCTTTAGGATGTGTGACTTCCTTAACACATTATTTTGAAAATGATGTACAACAGTCTATCTCAATATTCCACAAAGAATCTCCTAGGAGGATGGTGTTCTTGATATATCCCATTTCTATCCCGATCCCAGGCAGCTTTGCTCAGAAGCACTCAGAGTGCAACCTTCCAGAACTGAAGTAGTCAAGGGGTCACAGAGGTAGTCAAGGGGTCACCTCTGAAGCCATGGCCACCTGGGTGGGGATTTTGTGGTCTCACAGAGGCTCCCTTTCTCTAGGGCAAATCCTGGGCCTCATCCTTAGAAAGGAGAAAAAGGAGGGAAGGAAGGAGATATGCCAGTACACTCTCAATTTATCAAGTTTTACAATCATGTGTTGATTTGATTGTAACCTAAGCAGCAGAATGCTCATGTGAGATATTATGGTTGCAGTCCTAGGCAGCACCTGAGACTAATGAATTCAGTGTAACACCATTGGCTGGCAGCCCCATATGGAAATAAATCGATTGCGATCTAGGAAAGTGCTTTTATGTGACTGCACCAGCCCAAAGAACCTGAATACAGACATGCACCACACTTACGGATCTTCCCTACCAAACCAGTCCATGAGATTAAGTGACCAGTATTGTCAGGGATGAATGTCCACCATCAGGACCACTGTGTAGGACCACTGCATGTGCTGGGTGCAGCGTTTTGTTCTTCCCATTTTCTGTGGCAGCATTTGGCACACACAGGAGAAATCCAGGGAGTTCTGAACACACAAGCTGGCTTGCGTATATGAACCAATGACACATCGCAGAACCGGGGCAAGTACATTTAGAATTCCTGCAGTTGGGAAAATGACAACTCTTTACACATATTGTGTGTTTTTTCCTCTGTGCTCAGTGAAAGTGTACCACAATGCAACTCCCTGCTCTTTGACCTAACTTTTTGAAGAAGGCCAGAGTTAACTGCCTTCCTCTGCAGGGAACATCACCAAGCTACCCTCTCTGGGTTCAACTGTTTATGCATCAGTCTGAAAGGAAAGCAGTCCAAATTGAGGTACAGCTGTTAATGTAGGCTAGATGCTTCCCTCTCATCCCTCCCCACGCCCTTTCGCCAATGTGCAGATTCAGTGAGCTGGCTCACACAGCACGGCGGCCCACTAGCATTGATCATTGAACCCAGCCCAGTGTCTGCTGGCTGGCTGATTTTTCATGAGCCCCATGGCTTGTCTTAGGGTTGTTGATACCCTTGATGGTTTGTTGAGCAGTCCAAACCTGGAAGAGCAGTTTTTTCCTGGGTGGGTACCCAGACAGCAAGCCCAGCTCCTGCCAGTCCTTGTACAGGACACCAGGACCCTCCCTTCTCTCTTCTCAGCACTGTCCACTAAGAGGGAGGCAATGAGCAGGAAGGGGAGTGAGGGGCCCAAGTTACTGGAGGGCTCTTTTGTGAGCCCATACTTGTGCTTCAGTGCAAAGCAAAGCAGCCTTTAAAAAGGCAAGCTCTGAAATGGAGGATGGCCAGCATGTCAACAAGGAAGGGGTATGAGTGTGCTGGGCTAAATATCAGTGACATTTTTGGAGTGGGGGAGCTGGCAAATCCATCCCTGTGCTCCTGAGAGTGCAAACTGGTGTGTGTGTGTTGGGGGTGGGGTGGGGGGGTCCTTTGATAGCTGGCAACCACAGCAGACCAATTAAGAGAAGCTGCTGCAGGGATGGAAGCAACAAGTTCTGCTGCAAAGGTGCCCAGGATATTTATTTATACACATATTAACAGGCCGCCTATAATTGGCGAGGCCTTCCCAGGTGGCTCACAATAGAGTAAGTCAGTGTATGTCAGTGCAGGGAACTGAGCGGGCAAGGAAGAAAGCATGGCAAGCTCCATCTGCGGCAAGGAGTGCTCCTGGCTGTTGAGCAAAGAAGCCGCCTCCACACTCCGTTTCCAGTGTGGCTGAGCATGATGTGCACACCTGTTCAAGATGGTCTGAGGTTGACTCTTTCCTCCCCCACCTGCATTCCTCCACTGTGTGATCACCAAAATGGCAAGATCAGCCCAAAATAACAGTGTCCCCAGAGGGGAAACTGAGAGACAAGGAATCTTAAGAGCAAGATTCAGGCTGCCTGGTTATGCCTCAGCCTGAGCATACGCAATGCAGGCAGTCTTTGGGAAGACTGTCATCTCTGCTTTAGGACTGATACTTAGCTCATTCCTTCAAGCAGAGAATATGTAAGAAAGGATGCCTCACACAGGCAGTTATGACATTTTACATGGACCTGCTACTACTTAGGCAGGAGCCACACGGTGACATGGAATGTGCACATGGAACTGGGATTCCCAGGCATGCCATGAGGCAGCTCCCTCTTAAACTGGAAGCATCTATTCAGCAAAGACGAGAGGAGGCCTCTGCCAAGTGGTGGCATGATGCTTCAGGACATGCTGGCTCCAGTCAGGGCTGGTCTGTTTACAAATATTCACTAGATAATTATGGAGAAGCAGCAGAAGACAAAGAAGCAGGAAACAAGAGTAACAAAAAAGCCATTTTATTGAAAATGAGATTGAAACCTCAAAATTAATATTACAATCATGAGAGAATGTCAAATAAATTCAATTTACAGTTGCAACATACAATACAAATAGTCCCTTTGAAGATAAAGTAAACCCTTCCACAATCGCTGTCTGCGGCACAAAGAAGAATGTGTTTGTACAATATGTGCATGAAAAGAAAATCTTGGGCAACAGCAATTGGGAAAAAATGAAAGAAAATAAAGCTTGTATTTACAGGAAATGCTACAAATATTTTGTTCCAGCAGAAAGTCAAGAACGGTAAAGCATATTTAAACAAAAAATGTGAAATGTTGCTTAGTGTACCTATGAAATAAAAATTACTGCAAAAACATGATTTCTGGCTGATCTATTTAAAAGTGTTGCAACTAAACAAACTGTTAACATGTCAGGTAGAAGAACATGCTGAAATGTATTGCAGAGATTTTTAAGAGATTAGAGTTTTCGTTGACCTCTAGTCTTGATTTGTTCAGGTTAAAATTATTGCTTTTGTTCATGGCTTTTCTCGGACTTCTCATATGTTACTTCACCAGGACTTGGATGGCAGGCTCCAGCAATAACATGGAGCTGAATTCTAGTAAACTCGACAGTGCAAAACATCCCCCTTTTGACAAGGCATGGAGAAGTGGAAGAAGTGAAGCTCAGGGGACTCCTGCCCAGCAGCTCATGATTAAATGAAGCGCACTCACAGATGGGTTCTCTTAAAAGGTTCTGCAGATGGTGGGCCCCAGCTCACCATCCCTATGATGCCAATCCCTTGAGCAACTTCATCCATGGCCAGGCTTTTTTTATCCCCTCTATACAGGACTCCGGTGCCATTTTGGAAAACAGATTTGCACATGCAGTTTCATATCTGTGATTTCACAATCTGGACCTATATTTCCTCTTGTCAAAGATGCAACTCTTATCCTTCAAATATTAACCTCAGCCCATGATGTGAATGCATATTGCTATCTTCATACATTCCCTTCCTGAATCAAAATAAAATGTACTTTGAAGGACAGGGCTGGAATTAAGATATGTGCTATACATGAGTATTTTTATAATCACTGTCAGTTCTGAATAAGTGCAGAGTTTGAAGCACATGTCAGTTTGAACTGACTTATTTACTTCTATCGTGTCATCAATGGATCAGGCACCATGCAAGTCTGCATGAAGTTGCCTGCTGAGAACTCGTGTCTAAGAGAAGAAAAACACACTATAGGAATACATGAGAGACAACAGTGAAGGGCCTTGTGCTTATCAAATGTGCTTACGAATGGTCTTTCTTGCCAACCCTTCCATCATGGCTAATTCAAATGCAGACGATGAGATCATGGGGATCTGTGCAGTCACAGTAACGGCATGAACTGGACATGTCTGAGGACAAACAAAACTGCACGCGAGCGATTTGGAGATTTAATATCAAATGGTCCAGTTTTAAAATATGACAATACAGAAAGATTATGGTAGGTACAGAACAAAACAGAAAAATGATCTATGCTGGATTATATCCAGTCACATAAAGCAGTATTTTAACTGTACAAGAACATTTTTCTTGTTTCTCTTTAATGTATTTGGGTTGCTGCCTGCAGCCCCTGTAACAACACAAAAATATTCCTACAAAATTACTTAAGATGCATATAGTATATCTTTCAAAAGCCCTTTCAGCAATAAAAAATAATGTACAAATATAGTACCTTTTATTAAATACACAACCGCTTTTGCACTAGCAAGTCATTTTTCTTGTTTAATAAACAACAACAAAGTTCCAAAAATTTGAAATGTGTAACCAGACACTGGCTGCTGAAGTGAACAAACTTATCTTACAGATACAAATAAATGGACAAGGGTATGCTTCAAGCTACCACAAACAATAAATAGGATAACAGCTTCCATCTTTGAAGGAAAACTACACACCAGGAAAGTGTCTCTTACTTACAAAAAGGGGACTTATCTTCAGAAGGCAAATACATTTCCTAAAGAGCAAATTAATCATATTAAATTGCAGAAATGTGGGATCTCTCTGCTGGACTGATGTTATAATCAGCAGATGAGGAGGCTGACACTATCCAATTACATAATTATTCTTTGTAAATATGTTGCCATTCTTATTGTCAGGGTGGCCTAAATGTAGCTCATAGTTATCATTAGTTTTAGCAGCACTGCAGTCCAAAGAAAATAGTTTGCCACATGCAGTTGAGGCTAAAAGCAGTGCAAATGAGGATATGGAGAAGACCTGAGGGACAATGCACTCTGGGGAGCCCGAACAACCCCCGGAAGGAGTCATGCTACAGCTTAAATTGCATCCACATCCCTATGTCCTGCTTAAAGCATGTGCATTAATCCGCTGAAGAGAGGCAGGTGGCTGGATTTCAGTCTAATGTGCCAAGTGAGCGCACTGCCCCAGAAGTCTGGGGGAGAATCATCAAAGACGTCAGATGTCTTGGGATTTCAGGCACTTGACAAACACCTAATCTGGATTGCCATCCTGGCAATATAAAGTTTGAAAGTTGCAGATAAGATTAGGAATCCCAGGTTTATTCATGTACAACAATTAAGAATGAAGTGTGTGACCTTAAGAGGACCTTCGTCTTCTGTATTCAAGCTTGAAGCATTACATATTGCTGAATATTGGCCTGCGGAAGGTAGATCTGTACATCACTTGTGCTTATTCCTTTATAACACAATGGTTACCATATCTTCTGGAAAGATTCTTTTAAAAAAAAGAAATCAGAACGCATCATTACTAGGTAAGTAATCTGATGCTATACAAGACCTATAGGATGAGTAATCAATTAATTTTATGCAAGGGGACAATAAATATTTTATTTGACATTTTCAACAACTTTCTCTTAAGCCCCCTTTTCTTAACTTTTATTTTCTTTCCTTGTGAATTAAAAGGCATTTCACTGCTTTTATAAAACCTCAAGGAACACTGGGATTTCACTGGCTGAGGTTTCAGCACACCAGTATATGAGAAGAATTTGCTTCTGCATTGACACGGGTCAGGGCACTATTTCCTGCTGGTAGCAGTCCTTCCCACCTGATAGGACACCCTTCCAGAGGGCCTCCCAATCTTAGAGAAGGAGTGCTTTCGGAGTGCAGAGGGCTCCCAGGGAGAGGGAGGGCAGAGACGGAAAACCCTGTATGTGAGCAGAACACCACTTGTGGAACTCTGAATCCCACCCATTAAAACTGGAGGAAATAAAAACAAACGCATCAAAAACATTTTCACTCATTCTACTTCTCTTTCCAGTTTGATTTAAAAGGCAACCAAATATCCAATAACATTTAAAACAGTATTTCCTTCATAAATTAAAACAATGTGCTATAACTAAATTCCTTTGAGAGGAGCATGTGTTATTTTGCTTCTTTTTTTTAATCACACTGCAGCTGGTTTATACTGGAACTACTTTTCAGAACTCAAGCGCGGCCTTTGGATTTTGCACCACTCAAAGGCTGCCACTATTTAAAAACAACCAACATTTTTAGAGACCAAAGTCATCATATCATTACATTAAGAAAACTTTAAAGGGACCAAATATCATTAAATAATTATAAATATTCCTTAAAATATGACAATTCATTTTTGCAATCCCCCAACCCTCAATTTTTACATATTTATAACTTAATAAAATTAAACAAGATAGCCAAACACACATCCTAATGACACTGTTTTGGTTGGAGTAAGATATATTGCCGTTATTGTTTGTTTCTTTGCATAAGAAATTAGTTTTTGTTTTTATTTTGTTTTAGGGGTTCCCCCCATATATATATATTTATATATATATAATATGTAGTTTTGGTTAACTTGACTAAGGCAAAAATAATCACATAAATGCATAACACAAAACAAACAAGGTTGCCATGATACCTTGTAGGATGGTCTTTCGGCACAAAATAAGCCATGCATCTTAAAAGTTCTATCTTTTGTCTGCAGCAAGGCTTGGATAAGATGGCTGAAGATTTACTGTGAGCTGGTACATATGACATGTTTTTCTATATGCACAAACACAAGTAGTGAATTGTACTGAGCACGTAAAGGGGTCTTGTATATTGTATGATTGCAACTGTACCTTGTATTGAAGTTCAAGGGTTTTTTAATAATTATTTTGAAAAACAAAGCAGAATAAATTGTCTTGATAATTGGCCGGAGTCCATTTCTCCTCCCTTGGCAAAAGAACTCCCTAATTTTTTTTAATGTAAGAGTCTGGACAGAATGGGTATCTTTGTGTATATGTTAGAATTATTATAAAACTCTGGCAAATGTTCCCAATAGGAAAATAAAATGATCCACACTGAGTGGAACCATGATACAGAAGGTCATTCTCATGCTCTTTGTGTATAATTAGCTGTTAACATCTCAGCTACACAGTTGTGCATATCAACAGAATCTATTTTTTAAGAAACCCAGGCACTTTATAATTAGCGGACAGTTGTTTGTTTTTGGCTCACAGACTAGGCCACGTGGACAAAATTTCAGTATGGCCTCCAAACAGACTCATCCATTCTGCCACTAGAATTCAAGACTGTTGGGGAGCTGCTGTGGCTTCCATCAGCCTCCACACCATCATTCTGGTTAGGCAAGTTAGGGTTTAATAATGTGCTGCCATTGGATGTGGTACAGGGAGGAAGCATTCTGGAAGGGGAGCGGTCTCCCCCTGGCACCATGGGAAACTGGTATGATCCTGACGATGTGCCGTAGTAGAGATATGGAGTGCTGCTGGTCTGGAATGGTCCACTTTGGTTTTGGGAAGAGCCTGGGTAAGGTGGTGGCAAGTAGGTGTGGTAATGAGTGGTGGCTGACATACCCAATGACATGCCTGAGGTGACTGGCGGTGTATAAGTAAAGGTGGCTGGATAGTGCATTCGTGGGTTGGAGAAGCGGCTCTCAGTGAGGGATGAAATGCTTGTAAACTGCCTGGGATCTGAAAATGGGCCCAGCTCTGAAGCACCTAAAAAATTATAACAAAAGATGGGGGAAAAGTCTGTAAATATCCATGATTTTTCTTAAACGTAATGATATAACTCAAACCCACTCCTTTTGTTCCCCAAATGAATAGCAAGTATAAACAGAGCAAAGAACAGCACCTTTGACTGGTCATGCATAAGCTGAGAGTCTACTACAGCCAAATGTAGGTGCTCTGCTAAAATCTTGGATTTTTTCCCCTGTAATCCACTGCACATCTATGTCTGATCATAATTCACCACAACCTCAATATTAATCAATGAGAAACATTTCAAGTTTTTCTTGGTCCCTTCAAGAGCAGTAGCAGTAGCAATAGCAATAGATGAGCAGTTGACACTTAGTCTTCCACAAGTACATGCAGCCAGCCCTCTGCTGCTGTTAAACTGAGACTGCCTCACAGCACTTTTGGTAAAGACCCTATACATCTATGCACACATTATACACATCACTTCCCTCTCTGGTTGGCTTACAGTAACATCTATCAATACAATATATAAATCCAAATAACAATAAATTAAATGTCCCATGACTGACTTAGATAAATTAAATATTAAAATAAACTAACCAGATTAAAATTATAATACTTAAAATCTATTGGCCTTAAAATATTGGTTAAATAAAAAGTCTTGGCCTGGTGCCAAAAAGCGTATAGTGATGGTGCCAGGCAGACCTCTCTAGGGAGCACATTCCATAGCCGGGGCACCACCGCAGACAGGGCCCTTCTCCGAGTATTCTGTCACCTAATCTCCTTCAAGGAGGATTCCCGGAGGAGGGCCTCTGCTCCAGATCTTAGGCATGACACTGCACTTGGTATTCTCAGATCTTAGCATCTGATAAGCAGGATGTTTCCAGTCTAGCTTCTGGGTTGGAATTAGAACATGATTTGGTGGAGAACTTTTGTTTCACCTGAAATGATTGGCTGGAAGACAAAGTGCAATGTATTCCATGACCATGGTGGAGAAAACAATGTGAGAAATAGAGATGAAATGCATAAAGTGAAACGATGTACTGGAACAACATGCATATGCAGTGCTTCCCAACTAGTCAGCCACAGTTAAAAGACCAGGAATGAGCCATGAGATTTAAACCCCTCCACTCTCAAGTGCAGCTGTCATTTCTTCCTTGACCACAGTTCACTCTCAATATTAATAGGGGTGGCAATAGTCAGACTGTGGTAAGCAAGACTTTTCAAACAGGGTCTAAACCTGATAATAACATTAGGAGCACTCTGGTTCAGTGATGGTGAATGCTGGGCAAACATTACAATGAACCCTGGTCAAAAGCGGGAGGCTCGGGGCAGGGGGCAGGCAAACGAGGAGGAAATCTAGGGAAGGGGAATGCAGGGTCCTTGGTTAGTTCCCGATTCCTTAGCCATACCCATAGGATGGGACATGCTATTTCTACACGGGACCAATGTAGGAAGAACAAGAGAGAAGGACAGGGTAGAAGGGAAAGAGTTCCATGAGAACTTTACATATGGGTGCCAAATGTATAAAATCCTTGCCTAGCAAGAGCTTGGAAGGAGAGTACAAGAATACTGAACTCAGGTAGAGTTTCTTTTATGTAACTCTCAGGATTATCTAGATTCATTTATCTATTTCCTCAGCACTACAACCAAATACATTGTATGCAAAATAAAATACATAATACATAAAATATGTATGCTTTCATTTTCTTTTTTCTTTTTCTTTTCTTCTTTCTTTTCTTTAGTTGTGAAATGATATATTGTTGTTTATTTGTTTTATTGTTGAATGTTTTAATGATATTTATATTATTATACTGTTATTTATATTGTTATTTTTATCTTCTGTAAGCCGTCCTGAGGCTGCTGCAAAGGATGGCATAAATTAAATTAAATTAAATTAAATTAAAAAAAGGCAATGGAGAGTGCTTCAAGATAGTAGGACTGACTATCTCAAACACAGAAGTTTTGCATATAACAGAGCTTCACTTTTGATTTGCCAAAAATATTCTGTCAATAGACTATTCAAATATTGACTAAATAATCGATACTACATTAACTACAAGATTATACTTACTACGGTGATTTAATATCCTACATTACAGAGGAAAGTCCTCTGTTTTGGAGGCCAGGCTGAGGACAGACCTCTGCCTCAAGATATCTTCTACTGAAGGGCTGCCCAGCGCTAGTCTTGTTTATGGTCAAAGAGCCCTGAGACAGGAGAGCAACAGGGCCTGGGCACTGCCAGGTCACCTGGTCCATCTTCTCCACTATGGAGAGCTGCAGTTTCCGTTTAAATTCTAAATAGGCTCTGAAGAGAACTATTTATGTGCAAATTACCATCCTCCCTTTTTGGTGAAACATCTCTTTTTTTGGCCATTCTAATTCTTGGCTTAATGGGATATTTGACAGTGATTCAGGTCAAGTTTTTCAGCAGAAAAATCCTCAGCATCATGGCTCTTAGGAAGCATCTTACCCAGCAATAAGAAGCTGTAATTGTGGCTTCTCATACAAAGAACAGAGTATTCAGAACCACCATCTTAAGAGGGCAACTCAGCCAACCACCATCCCTTTTGTGGCTCTTAACATGAACGTTCAGGGGGAAGCTCCTTTGCCAGTGTCCTTCCTTACTGAAACAGGACTGCAAAAAAGGATGGGCAGGGTGCATCCCTAGCACATGTGTGTAGGCTGGGCTGCCTGGCTCATCGGGCAGCTGCAGGTCAGACATGATTCCAAATGTTGTGCCTGTCCCTCTATGCTGGAAGCTCAGGGGAGGGAGGGTGTGAGAGGGAAACTCAATATGGGTGGGGAGACAAATTGCAGAGGAATTGGATTGACTGATCTACATGGGAAATACATGATCAGAAGAAGAATTAATAGAATCAATTGTCTGGGAAACTGGATGTGAAATCTGGGAGGAAAATTAATGTATGGGGTAAATTAATTGACCAGGAATTGATCTGGCTGAGGGTGGTTAGGTTTCAGAATCCACCTCTGTCAAATACCCAATAATTGCTTTGGTTAGATTATTTCTCAGCTGTGCCAATTTGCTTTCTATAAAATAGATGATGCTGTGGCAAATGTGAGGTCAAAAAGATGATTTAGTTTGGGAGCTAAAAGGCCAATTCTTTCTTGCACTTTATTTGAGGAAACAGCTTTCTGTTTCTAATGGTGATCAGCCAAATGCTTCCCAGAAGGAGAGAAAAGCAAGAACCCTGTTTGCCTGCATACAAACAGGGTTCTCAAAGGTATACTGCCCCACAAAAACAAAAGTATTGTCACAGCTGACAAAGAAACTTTCCTGGGGAAAGTTGGAGCAGCTAAGGGTAAATATGGTGCAAATGCTTTCACAGAGGGTGGTAGGACTTGTAGCATCTCCAGTTTTTGAAGACAGGAGCCACCCTGTGTAGGTGCCAGCCAGCCTGCCTGCAAGAGAAGCACAGATATCCCAACAGAGGAACCAGTGTGACTTTTCCAACAGTTGAATTATACCAGATGCCCTCTGGGATTTGTGAGAGTTCCTTACAATAAAGAGATATTGTAAGGACAGACTGAAAGACACCTGCTAGGAAAATACCAGATGATCAACTGAATTCTACTGAGATGCTTAGGTCCTGAATCACATCCAATCTCAATGTAAGGTCTTTGGGCATTTTGACATGCGGGGCTGATCCTAATTGTTTTAAGTTAGCTCTTAATAGGAATATAAAACCCACACAGATGACAATGTATCTTAGATTCTCTTCAACATCTTCCTTGCCTCAACAAGAATTGAAAGCGACAGGAAAGAAAAGGCCCACACGAGGCTCACATTTGACTTCCAAGTTGTATGATTTGCACGGTACTTATTTCTTGTTTAGCCAAAAAGATACCTTTGGTGGGCTTAACCTTTCAACATGCAAGATCTGTAGCCCCCTTAATAGACAAAAGGAAAACTGCATACTTGTATCATTTGCTGTAATGAGTTCTTACTGTTCAGAAGACCTATGCACAGAACTCTGGGCATCATCCCAAACAAATCTTGATCATGTGAGTTGTGGGTTGGAACTGGTGCGGCTGGATGCTTGCAGAAAAGAGGCAGTGGACCTGCTTAGTGCCCAGAAAATCTCACTGACAGTCAAACTACATTCTATTAATAATGTAGTATCCACTCCCCCTCTGCTTCTTATTTCTTATTTTAGCGTTCCAATCCAGAAAACCACAAAGGAACAGGGGTTGTTAATCCTTCCCTCCACAGTCACTTCTCTTCCCTCCCTTGCCATGGCAGCTTAAAAACGGGGTTGGAAAGCCTCCAATGGTGCAATGAATAAACCCCCAAGTGGGGATAGTATCAAAAGCTGGGAGGGAAGCATCTAGGGAGGCAAAGATGAGGGCTTGTCTGGGGCTCCTATATGCTAACCCTGGAATAAATGAAAAGCAGAAGGGGAACTGCATGTTATATAATTAATGGAATATTGCCATTTAACCCCTACACTGAAATGAGACTGTTCTGAACTGCAAGAGAAGTTGACATAAAATTCTAGTTTCCTCCTCCTTAAATATGATACTAATACTCAACTTGCACCCATTGCAAGAAACACAGTTATGAGCAGGCAACGTTCTTTTCCCTTCATTCCTGCCTACTGAACAACAGCCGGAGGCAATACCACCCAGAAACAAAGCTGTTATTTTAGAATCCTAGCATGTTGCTTCCCTCTTCATACTCTGAAAAGGGACTAGTGTGCATTAGGCAGCTCCAAGTTATTGTGTAATTTCCACTGATGCACTCAACATTGTGACCTTTTTTCTGCTTTCATTGCAAGGACTGTTGAATTAAATATAAGCAAGAAAGAATCAGTATTACTCATTTCTGCATCTCTGGAAATTATACAGTAATCATAACTTAGTTGTGGAGCACATGCTTTGCATACAGAAGGTCAGTCCCTGGTAACTCTAGTTCAAACGATAAGGTAACACGAGAGGAGACTTCTGTCTAAAATCCACAGCAAAGCAGAGCTGGATGGACAGTCTGAATTGCTAGCACA